AGAAAAAAAAAAAAAAAAAAAAAACCCCCCCCCCCCCCCCCCCCCCCAAAAAAAAAACTCCTAAGAAAGAGAGTTCCTGTGGCTTTAAAATGAGAATTTTTGTGTTGTGATGGCATAAGTTTTTGAGTGCCTGTGCCATATTTTATTAATACATACCTCGCAGTAGAATCAGTAATTGTTGTTTTGCTCCTTTGCTTTTGCAGCTGTTCCTTATATTATTAGTGAGAAAGGAAATGACTTGAAACATATGTATATAAACTCTTCTTTTCTTTTAGTTAATGATTCTGAAAGAGCAAAATAATCAGAAGAAAACACTTCCAGATGGGATGCTGGATATAAATCATGAACAGGAAAATACACCAACTACAAATGGGAAGGTACAGCTATTTACTTCTTTTAGCTGATGTCTGATTTTTAATCATTAACTATAATATTTTAATTTGAAACTATAATAAAAGATTTCTGAATGATCATTTAAGTAAAAAGTCTCGGTTACCACAATTTCAGTGGTAGTCTATCCAATAATAAAATTATCTTGGGGGAGGGATGTTTACAGGTAAGTAAGTTTGTTTTTCAAATTTCTATGTAACATGCAAATACTTTTTTTTTTTCTTCCTGTTTAATAGCGATCCTCTGATGGTTCTTTGTGCCACGATGAAAACCTTGCTAAAGTGATTGAACTCCAAGACATCATAGATAAGCAAAACAAAGAGCAGACGCAAATGAAAGAACGCCTTACTGCTTTGTCTGGCAGAGTAACAGAGCTGGAAGAAGATCTTGACACAGCTAGAAAAGACTTAATAAAATCTGAAGAAATGAATACAAAGTTACAGAGAGATGTACGAGAGGTGAGGAATCAACTATCAAAATTTGGGTAGTCACAACTGCAACTGCTTTATACAATTTCAGTGTCATTTGTGCTCGGTTATACCTTTATACTTTTGAATGTTTTTGGTTTGATAGGTGAGAAGAAAATTGTTTAGAGCATGATGGTGCTATTTTTTGTTTAAAAGAGCAGTCACTTAAGAAAATTTGTCTTCAGAATAAATCTATGACTAACTAGATACTTCACAGATATATTAAATTTGACATTTAGCATTGCGAACTTTAACCTGTTCTTGAAAAGATGCTTGGTCTAGTCAAATTCTAAGCTTATTCATGAAGTTTAAAGTTTTTATTTTTAAAGATGTACATGGTTGAGAAATCATTTTAATTTCAGTGGTGTGATTAACACATCCTGTTACTGATCCATCACTAATCTCCAAGGTCCTATGTATTGCAATGTACTATATCCTTATTAAATAGAAAGGGAGCTTAGTTAAATCCGAGAACACTCTCTGACCATCCCCAGGAAGTAAAGATTTGCTGTGTTTGTGCCGTTGAAAAGCAGATCTCTGGTGTAATGTAATAAAGACCAGTCTTTTTAAGTATTCACCGTTTTAGAGAAAAAAAAAAAAAGGCATTGAATGTGTAAGCCTAAGTGAGACTATTCTTTCTACTTCATTCTTTTTACTGAGAGAAATAACAGAGTATATCCAATTTTTATTTTTCTATTATTATTTTTGATTTGTGGGTTTTAACCCCCAATTTGATCACTAAATAATTATCCCTTACATTCTAAATTCTGTCTTGTGTCTTGCATAGACGATGGCCCAAAAGGAAGACATGGAAGAGAGAATTACAACTCTTGAGAAACGCTACCTCGCTGCACAACGTGAAGCTACATCTGTGCATGACCTCAATGATAAACTTGAAAATGAAATTGCCACTAAAGACTCCATGCATCGACAGGTTGTAATTTGAAATAAGATAAAGTACATTTTGCTCAGCATAAAACTAATGGAAATAATTAATGTTCATACTGTACTAAAGCACTCTTCTTTTAGGAAGATATCACCTCTAATGTTGCTATTGTTAGCGATTGTTTTTCAGTAACTGGAGGGAGTGCATTGTACAAAGTTTTACCCTGGAAATGAAGACGAGACAGTTTACCGGAGAGAGAAAATAGTTTTAAGCATTTTAGTGCACTTGATCATGGTGCACCAGGGCTGTTTTCCCTATTAATTGTGGATTTTTAAGTTATTATATGTGTATCCAAGCATCTTTAGTTTCGTATGTGAGAAATTACTCATTCCAAGCTAAAACAGTTTTAAAATTTGTGTAGGGTGTAGTGATTTTTATAGCCTATAATAGAAGTAAATGTTGCCTTACTGCTGGAGGAAATTTGACATACGCTTGACATGAAGTAGTCCAACTTAAAACCAGAAATGTTTTCTTAGCCAGTCACTTTCTAACTAGAGGAAGCCAGGCAACTCTTAGCCAACAAGAGAAGTCCCTTTTAGTATGATTTTTAAAAGAAGTCGTACATACTTTAAATAAAAATAAATTTTGCGGTAACATGCATAGTGTTATTTAAAATATGAAGCAATTTTTTCCTTGATGTAACTCCGTCTTAGCACAGCCTTGACATTGAAAATTCACAACTTAGTTATGGTATGGGAAGCAGCATAGAACATGTTTATTTGGTGATATAGTTGCTTTCAGAATACACAAAATTGACTGCAGAAAAAAATTTGTAGAGAAAAAAGTCCTCTCATGTAATGAAGGGAAGGATGCCACATCTTTTGATTATGAAACCAGTTTTGGACAGTTTGTTCTCCATAGGTCTAGTAAAGGCAGTAAGCTGTATCCTTACCTTCCTCTTTGATGAAAATTAATTACCATTTTAACACTAAACGTTTGCTGACCATAATCCTGTGTAGAGTGAAGACAAAAACAGGCAATTGCAAGAACGACTGGAACTAGCTGAGCAAAAGCTGCAGCAGACTTTGAGAAAAGCTGAAACTTTGCCGGAGGTGGAAGCTGAGCTGGCACAGAGAGTTGCAGCGCTTTCAAAGGTGAGTCAATTGGACAGTGTCCTCAAGACTCTCTTCTTTGTTGGTGTCCTGCTACAAGAAATCTATTCTTAAAGTGTTGCGTTTGTTACATTGGGTTTCTGGTTTTCCTCCAACTAGTTCAGAAAATGTTTCTCCTTTTCTTCATTTTTCTGTTCATCTCTATGAACACACTCTAATTTACTTTTTTTTTTTTTTTTTTAAATTTCTGCTCTTTGGAACTTGAGCAGGTTTTCTGTTAACTCTCTTACATTATGAAAATGTCTCTCTGAATTATTATTTTGTTGCTTTTTATTAGAATTCATTCAATAATAGGCATAAAGTCTTCTAAAACAAGAACTATTTCTGAAGGGGAACCCCAAATTTCTTCCACTGTTAACCAAGTGAGGAATAGGGGGAGAGAGAGAAGTAATGGTACTCATTAATATTAAGATTTTTAGAAGACTACAAATGGAATAATGAAGTCTGAAGAGTTATATGTAGTAACTACAAATGAGCCTTTTCAAGTGTGTGTGTGTGTTCTTTTCAAGTCTCAGTTTCATTTCTTTCCCTGTTATCTTTCCTGTCCCTAACTGGCTCTGTAGTCTGACCTTTTGTCTCCTGGGAACTCAGCTGCTAAAGATGCTAAAGTATTGGAACTTACCACCAAGCTTAGGAAGGTAGAATTTGTATATTAGTCCTTGTTTCTGCTTGCTGCTTTCTGCTTTGTCATGACTACTAACAAGGGGTCATATTGTGTAGGCTAGTGAGGAAAAGCTGAAAATGCTTTTTTTATTTTTTTTTAAATTTTTTTTTTTTAATTCTTGGGGATTTGAATGAACTTCTGCTGTTGCAAGCTCATTTGCAAATAGTAGTTGGTTCATCATACTTAGGGGTGACAGGCTTCATCGTTTTGTTACTTACCATATGAGCTCTTACTAGGTCCTTTCAAGTGACAGAAAGGCATCTGTTCTGCATTGTGTATTACCATAAATGGCAGTTGCGCAAAGCATGTTAGATATATTATTGTGCTTCAGTGTTTCTACGCTTCTGAAGCCTTTTTAAAAAAAAAAAGAAACAAATTCTAATTTTGTTTTCAAATTGACAGGCTGAGGAGAGACATGGCAATATAGAGGAACGACTGAGACAGATGGAAGCACAGCTAGAAGAAAAGAATCAAGAACTGCAAAGGGTACCGTACATATTTTTGGCAAAGATACAAAGCCGAAAGAAAGAATCTAATCCCCTTCAAGGCTGTCTGCCATTCAGGAAAACTGTTTTTATTTCTCATCTCTAAAATAAAGCCAGAGTTTAGGCTGGCTGATAGGTGGGAGATCTGAGCCACTGTACTATGGCTAACCTTAAATCTCAAGAAAAAGCTGGAAGTCTCCAATCAGTTTCAAGTATGTTTGGAAATGCCTAATTGCTAGTCATATTTTCTGATCAGGAGGCAGATCAAAAACTTGCTGAATTAAATGACTATGGAAAAATTGGTTCCTAGGTTATAAATAATGGAATCGCTTTTTCTTGAAGTGTGAGCTCAGATTTTCAAGCTTGTGATCTTGAAACAGTTACTAAAGTCTTAAGTGTCCCTTACACTCCCTTACAGAGTCAGGGGGGTACATGCGGTATTCCTTTGGAAAAATATTTCTATTAAAAAAACACATTTGGATTAAAGAAAGCTTACTGTTTTTATAACCTGGAAATTGTTATAGATATTGTGAATTTAAAGTTATTTCAGCAGCTTTTATGTATCCTAGGCTAGACAGAGAGAGAAGATGAATGAAGAGCATAATAAACGTTTGTCAGAAACTGTTGATAAGCTTCTGTCTGAATCTAATGAAAGGCTTCAGCTTCATCTCAAGGAAAGGATGGCTGCCTTGGAAGATAAGGTAACAAATCACATTCCAACATATACATTAATTAGAAGTTCAACATTCTGTAGTGATTTGTGTATTTTGCAATGTGTCTGTAACTCTAACTTCAGTAAATGAATACTAAATCCTTATTAATAAGTAGTTTCTGCTAAGGCTGTTTTCTAGTGTGGATTTTGGAAATAAGTTCTTAAAATGCATTTTTTTTTTTTGAGACTGTGCCTGAGCATTGTACTACAGTGTTGAGCAGACATCTTTTTAAGAAGCTTTATCCTTTCTTAGTTGACTGGTGTGGACTGCATAAATAGGCTCATCTAGTGTAATACAGGAAGTCTAAAGAATTAGGGCTAGAACTTTGACCTTTTCAGTTCAGTTTCTTTTATTTCCCACTGCTTTTTTCCGTACTAGTTACCCTGAGTCATTGTGGGATTCTTGCAAGTTGAAACAATCTTGCATTTTCTTCCTGGTTAGATCATTTTGAGACAGGTTATATGAATGTAAATGGACTGTTCCCTGGGTTGTCAATGCACATCACAGTGCCTTCCCCTGTATTCAATTCATCTTCTAACTTGTGACATACTTTACTCTGTTTCTTTCCCTTCTGCTTTTGGATCTAGGTCCTTACGGATTTTTCTTCTATGTATGTCTTTTAGGATTCCCTTATTCTGCATCAAACAAAGCAGTGTCTTCTAAAGTAGTACTTTGCTTGATGCTGACTTTGAATTGCTTTGTCTTGGATTAAAAAAAAATACTTAGTTTCTTTTACTGGAGGGTGAAATGACCATCTGGGGAAATGTTTCAATAAAAGCTGAGTGGTTTTTGTTTCAAAGTCATGGCAATAAAATGCTTCAGTTGCTATATATAATGATGTATTCAGACTTCAATAAATGTTTACTTTCTCTTGCATTCATGTCAACTCAGTTCTTATCCCTAAATCATCAGTCAGGCACCTGACATGTCTTTCCAGAATTCCAGGACTGTGCTCCCCTCAGATCATTACAAAGATTTAGTTCGGTCTTTTCTCTGCTTTCGCACTCTTGGAGCTGAGAGGAATCAGGTAGTGCGGAACAAATGTAGGTCCTACTGATTCTCGTCCTTTGAGTTAATAATAAAGGTGCTTATCATCTGGCATCTAAGGCTGCAAACTTTGTCTTGTGGTTTTTAGTTAACATCACAATTTTCAAGATCACCAACTGCTCCTAATGCTTCAGAAATTCTTGTTATGGGCCTTTTTATGACATCAGCAAGGTTGCTCTAGCAGTCTTTATAAATTCAATTTCTGAAAAACAGCTGACTGCATTTTTTTTTTTTAAATGCTTGAATATTGGGAGGGTGTCTTAGGGTTGACACTAACTCCCCTTTACTCTCCAAACCCTAACTATGTTCATGATTAATGAGGAAAATCTAGTTGTCCTTCACAGTAAGTAACAGCTTCTAGAAAAGTATTCTTTCTGTGGCTTCCAGCTCATTCTTTTATGATAAATTGGGAAGAAACATGCAGGTAAAATTTTAAGATTTTCTTCTGATCACTTGGGATTTTTTCCCGGAATGATTTATTTGTTCATGTATGAAACTTCATTACACGTTTAAGATGCAAATAATGGTATTACTTACCTCAAGGAAATATGTGTAGGAGAAAGTCTTGGCAATGGTGGAAAAGGAAAAGAAAGTGACCCAGTTATAAGTTTCCTATTAGAACGGGGAATCGCTGAATTTTTTTTTTTTTTTTTCTTGGTATCACATGCTACAGTCAAATACAGTAGGTGAAATTCTTTGGTTGTTGTTGATCTCAGATGTTTCTTAATTCTCAGATGATTCTTAGTCCGAGTTTGGAAACTGCTTTGAGATTGTAGTAGTCATAAGTATTTATATTTACTGGAGTTGTTTGGAAGTGATGGTATATCTGTAAAGAGGACAGCTCTGGTGTTAATAAAGGCCTGTAAGTCAGTGAGTGTTGCAGTTCTGGAGGTACAGTACATCCAAGAAATTACTGTATAGTAATTTTGTAAGTCAGGCAAGTGAAAATAAAACGAAAACCTGATGATAACAGCCAGTAATGCCTTAGTAACCACTCAGTGAATTACTTTGAATTATTTTAGCTGCCTAATTATTCCTTTTTTTTACCAGTTTTGTCAAACAGAGCTTTAAAGGGCTGGTATTGGTACTGAATTTTTGTGGAACTTGTGCTATTACTAAATCCATTATTTAGAGGGCTGTACACCTGAAAGGATAAACCTTCAACTATAATCAAAGTGAAATGATGTAAGCAATAAAGTATCGGTAACTTAAGATGCATCTGTATAGTGTTGACTGAAATTTTTTAATACTCATCGTGGTTATGGTTTAAGAGTTGAAAGCTTGTATAAGTAACGTAATTTGTGATACATTTTATTTTAGAATTCACTTCTTCGAGAAATTGAAAATGCAAAAAAACAAATAGAGGAACTTCAGCATGAAAAGGTATAGTACACATTTCTGAAATATGATATTGGAAAATAATTGCTGCATTGCTATATAGCAGGAGCAGATTTGAATTCCCCCATAAAACCTAACATTACTTGGTCTGTTTAAAAGTAGGGAGCTGTTATTGCTCATTTTACGGTATTGTGTGCCTCAGCTTTATGATGATTTTACAGGTAATATGCAGCTTTTTACTCAAAGATTTAACACACTTCTGAATATGTAAAGTGGCTGGCTATATTGGCAATTTGCCAAAGTTTGAAGATTGCATAAAGTTGTTATACTGTTGTATGTATGACCTTGAACAGTAAAAAGAAAAGAGAAATACTTATAATGTTGGGTATTTTCCCATAAGTTTTTTTTCTTAAAGCATTGGGTATCATGAAATGCTTGTTCGACCAATAAAAAATATTTAAAGTTTTAAGTATTAGTGGTCAGGGAGAGAAATATTTATTAGACTTGGCTGTTCCTTTGCAATAGCAGCTGTCTGGTGTTTTGCTTGTCCTGGAGCTGACAAGTTCCCTTCTTGAATAATAGTGGTGGGGCCTTTCATTTCTTTGCATCCTTAAGCAGTGGCAGTTGATTTTGTGGTCACGCTATCTGTTCTGAAATAATACTTGTTATTGCTTATTAAATCACAGGTGTACTGCATCTCCCCAAATCATTCTAGTAAGTAGCTAGGCCAAACTGTATAGCCTGTGTTTCTGTAATAAAATGAAGAATGCATTCAGAGCATCTTGCAGAATATGCTTTCAATTTTTGTATGTGTAGGCCAGCAGTTTTCACACAAGGCACAGATGTTCATCATCAGCCATTTTTAGTAGTTTTTCATTGTTTTCTCATTCATTGGATTTCTCTGTTGTTAAATTTTGAATTTCTAGAGTATGTAAAAATGTCCAAGTTAAGTGAATGCATTTAGAAACTTTGGTGCACAGAGCTTGAAAAATCTTGTTTCTTATTATATATTATCACTGAATATAGTAAAGTTAGTAATATGTGAATTTTATTTAATAGCTGCTTTTAAAATATACATTGTCATTACCTAGTCACGGTGTAGAGAGGCAACAGAATTATTCTTGGATGCCCTTTTATGATGGTGTGGCATTGTTTGTAGCAAAAATAATTTTTTAATAATGTTTTAAAAACTGTTATTTCTGAATTTCGTAGAAATGAGATCAAATAACTAAATGCTAGTTTATAGATCAGTATTTGACACTGATTTTTTTTTAAAGCATATTGTTATGTGTTTTATCTATTTATTTTTACAGGATCAACTTGTATTAAATGTTGAAGCATTAAGGGCTGAAAATGACCAAGTGAGACTCAGAGCCACATCACTTCATCATAGGTACCAGAACTTAATTGCAGTTCAGTTTTTTCTAATTTCTTTAAAGTCACTTTGCTAAATGTAATTTTGTCTATTATGACTGAAAATACCTTAGTCCTAGCTATAGAACATGTTCTTTATAGAGTATATAAGGCAGTTTTCATACTGCATAAAAAAAAGGCACTGATGGGACAGTAGGAATCATTTGGGTGGGTTTTTTGGTTTGTTTCCCCCTTTCCTCTACCTTTGTAAGGATGAAACGTTTCTTTGTGTTCTAGCCGACCAGACTTCAGATACCCTATGACATCTTCGTCTGTGGCTGACAGTCATACAGACTCCTATGGCACCTCGTCAGTGTTAAGGCGTCCCCAGAAAGGACGTTTGGCAGCTCTCAGAGATGAACCTTCAAAGGTAATAGAACTCTGAAATTAAAATAAAAATAAAACTTTGGCAACAAAGTAGATTAGATGAGGCTAATCTATTGCAAGGAGTTTATGGAATAGGAGTACCTAGGAATAAAACTGCTAGATTTTGTGTCGTGTTTTACTAGCTAATGCACAGCTACTAGTATCTTTAATTGTTAACAAATGCAAAATTGGGCTTTTGAAGCCCAATTTGTTTTAAGTATGATAAGCCTGTAAAATATAATTTGAAACAGTCCTACTTTTGTGCCTGTATACTAATCTATCATGTTGCTGTTCTGCATGCAATTTCAAGTCCCTTTCAGGACACATAAGTACATAAAGCTGATTCCAAAATTCTCATTGGATTTGATAGCAAAATTCTGCCATGATTTAGAGTGTATATAGCCAAGATATGTGATGTTTTAATTTATTCAATGTGGCTGTCCATTTTAAAATTTCACTTAACTGTAAGTTGCAAAGTTTTCTACATTATAGCTTTTTTTTTTTTACGTTTCTCTAAACATTGCTGTCTTGATGGATGCATCCAGCATGTAAGTGGGCTTTTTAAAAATTATTTTAAACATCTTGAAAAACAGTAGAAATGTTATGTTTTTCCCGATTGAGTGTGGATTTTTTTTTTTATTAATTCTTCTAGGTTCAAACTCTGAATGAGCAGGACTGGGAGCGAGCCCAGCAAGCAAGTGTATTGGCAAATGTGGCACAAGCGTTTGAAAGTGATGTTGATGTGTCTGATGTTGAGGATGATAGGGAGACTATATTCAGTTCAGTTGATCTGCTATCACCGAGTGGTCAGGCTGATGCTCAGACTTTGGCCATGATGCTTCAAGAACAGTTGGATGCAATCAACAAAGAGATTAGGTATGGTCTATCTGCTGTTAAGCTTTTGATAAAAATGAATTTCTGTGACACTAGAAGTCCTTTTTGTGTGGTTACTCGGAAAATGGTCGTTGCCCATTCAGTTTCCTGGGGGCGGGCTGACAGAAGTAACTAGTTTGCTTATGCCTAAGTACCCTTTACAGGTTGTCTGTCTTCAATCCCATTTATGGAATGGATTGTGTATTACTAGTTTGACAGAAATCCACGATGGTCATAGCAGTAGGGTTTACCACTTTTTTCAGATTGGATTAGAAGATTTTTCAGTGTAGCTGTTTTGTCTGCCAAGTGCTGCTTCTTTCTAATGCCTGAGTCAGCCTTTCTGTTTATATGGCGCTTGTTTGAATGTCATGTTCCTTTGAAACCTTTTTTCTTTCAGACTTATACAAGAAGAAAAGGAAAACACAGAGCAGCGTGCAGAGGAGATTGAAAGCAGAGTGGGTAGTGGAAGTTTGGATGCCCATGGCCGATTCCGGTCCATGAGCTCCATTCCTCCTCCCTATGCAAGTGGTTCACTTGCTGGTTCTTCCCCGCCTGGCAGTGGCCGCTCCACCCCAAGGCGGATCCCACATAGTCCAGCTCGGGAGGTGGACAGACTAGGTATCATGACACTGGTAAGTATCCATTAACTTCAATTTTTCAGAAGAGTGTTCCTTTTCTCTAGGAAATGGGTTGTTCGATTTCCCCTTCCTCTCCTCCTTACTCAGCTGTATTTTTCCTTTCTCTAGGTTTTTCTACTGCTTCCTTTCAACTTCTATAAAAAGTGTAAGATACAGTCATAATGATTAGGAAAAATGTTCAGAACTCAAGTCTATTATTTGGTCAACATCTCGTGCCTAAGTATTCCTTCTGTTGTTACAGTCTTTTCTTCTGACTCCTCTTCCTAGAAGAAATAATGTTTTCTTTTCACCCCCTGGTACAGCAACTAGTTTCTCCCTCAGCTTTAAACTTCATTTTCAGCAGTCAACTATTCCACTAAATACTCATCTAAAAATTGATATGCATATATTGCATTAATCTGGAAGATTATGAAGGTATCACAGCTGTTTTAACACTAATGAATGCTAGTGTCTTGTTTTAGGCTATTAAGACTGGTAGGTAAAAGAAATATCTGGTAGACCTAGTAGCTGATGAAGTAGTAGCTTGGGCATAGCAGTTCAGCACGTAGAGAAAGATGGATCCATTCTTTTGACATTCATATGACTGCTTAGAAAAATTAATCTTTCTAGGAGCTGCTTTATGCATGTAAACCTATCTGTAAAAACAAGATACAAGTTTTCCACTTTTTTGTTTTTACATAAATGTTAGCCAAACCTAAGTTTCTCATATTTGGAATACCTTTCACTAAGGAGCATCTTGAATACAGGTATTTATTTGCAAGCGCTCTCCAGCAAAAGCTCCTTGTCTAACTTAGCTCTATATGCATTACTTTGTCTCCAGATTTGCATGTGCATCAGGAAACTGTACTTATTAGTTGTACATGCAACACCATACTTAGTACACCTTATTGTCTTGGATTACTGCGCTTGTATCATGCCTATGCCATACCAATCAGTAGACAAGGAATGCTATCCATCACTGTAAGAGCAGGTGGGCTGTAAATGACTGACTTGGCTCATTTGGGTCTCTTACACGAGTGTTTAAAACCAAATATTTCAGCTAACTACTTTTGTTGGCTTTTTAAAATGAATGTGTACGTATACCAAAAAGTCTACTTTTTTCATAAAAAGGAATCATTTTGGCTTTCTTGCATTTAAAAAAAAAATAAATCATTATACTAGCTCTAGCTGTATATCCAGGGTCAAGCACACTTCTTTTACAGAAACTAAAAAATTTCAAAATGTGGAGTGCTTCATATTCTAACTTTTCACAGTAATAAGTAGTTAAGCTAAGAACTTCTCTCATAGAAAACCATATACAAATTTAAGTACCTATTTTCATGAAAGCTAGATCAGAAGAATGTTTTATGTTACATTTTAACATAGCTGAACAAAAGCAAAATAAATAAGTTTACTTTAGATCGTAAGAATTGTAACTCAAAGGCACTTGATCCACTGTTTGCAGTTGCATTTGTCTGACGTTTTAGTACCTTGCAACTGATTTGTGACAGCATGAAAACAAGAAGCTGTGCTTCTAGAATTACAGAACAAGAGTTTTGTAGAAACTTCTGGAATGGCTATTATGAATTATCAGACTGAATGAGTTCTTGTGGGGTTTTTTTCGATGTTTGAATAGAAAGGTGCGTTAGTTTATTAGGATGATGGCAACATCAGCTTCATGCTAACTGTACTACTGGTGTTAGGCAGTTCAGTCAGCTGAATACCCCTCATGATTAAAATTAATTAAAAAAACATCAACGTGATAAATTGTGAAACCTACAGCTCTCTTGAACAGTTCTCGTGGACAGTTTTCATTCCATATGGTAAACATTTTCATTTTTGTGGTTTATGAGATTTAATAGATGAAAGATCCGGCAAGGGTAAAATGAGTCTGCTGCGCTTTGTCTAAGAACTTGAGGAGGGCCTACGTGATCTTTAAAGGTCCCTTCCTACCCAAATCCTTCTATGATTCTGTGAACTTATGATTTATTAACATGATACTCTATGGTCAGATTGAACAAAACTTTACATATTAATGCAGTGTAGCTTGCATGTATTCTAAATCAATAATTATTAAAAGTTGTCGTTTGTGGGAGGGAAACAACACACAAGTCCCCTGCCAAACTTCAAAGGGGACTGACTTTATTTTTCGTTATGGTCTTTTGAAATAATTTGTCACCGAATACAATGGTAATTATTAAACAAATTATCTCAATTAAACTTCTGTCAGCATCAGTCTGAATAACTTGATAACTTGTTTATGTAACTCAGGGTCGCTGCCTTGCTCTGTGCGCTGGCAGAGGTGGGAAGTACCGAGCAAGTGAGAACCGGTGGCTTCTGGAGTGGATGGAGGATAAAATAAAACCGGTGGTAGTCTTGCTCAGACATTCCAGCACTTTAAACATAGTAGAAAGAACAGAATACTGTCACTGTATAGAAATCAGCTATTGCTGGCCCTCTGTCTTTCACAGTATTAAAGTCTGGCTGCTTTTTATGCTATGTAGGAAACAACAGCAGAAATTGGTAGGGTGTGAGGAGGGACTAGTGCAGACAACGCATTAAGCCTGCTATGGCTGTCCTGTAGGTTATATAGTTCAAGGCAAGTACTTGACATAAGACTGGAAATCCTCTCACCTTTTAAAAGCAACACCTTATGCCCCCATGTACTTCACTGTTTTTTCTTCCTGAAGATAATGCACGTTTTGTGTGCTAATTTGCCTGTGGTACCAATACATTGAAGTATCTATGGTACTTTTTTAGATAACCAACTGTAAGTCTTGGTTATTTTTTTTGCTTTGTTTTCCCCTCTTCAGGGATACATTTAAGTAATCTGTGATTTGAAGAATACTTCATACTCTGTATCTTTCTCTGTGCCATTGCTGTGATTGTTATTTATATTCTCCCTAATATATTTTGTCTGAACTAGTTGTTTCAGTTTACAGTAAATACGACTTTTCTAAATTTCTTTTCTTTGCATGCATCTATCAGCCTAGTGATTTAAGGAAACACCGTAGAAAGGTAAAAGTCTTTAGTTTATTTACGGGTGTGCACCTTCATCTCCTTCCCCGTCCCCAAAGTCATTAATGGATAACAGGAACATTAAAAAAAAAACATTTGCAGGGCAACCCTTTAATAAAGCAAGATTATATGCTCTTTGATATTTAATGTAAAATGGTTTATCATGTTAACATAAGTGGGGGTTTGTTTTGTTTTGTGGGGTTTTTTTGCTTGGTTTTTTTTGCTGGTGTGGGTGACTGTTGTGTTGCTTTCTGTTTGTAACCACTATTTTGCAGTCTTCATGAAACAATATTTAATTTTAAAGATCTATTAGCACACACACAAATAAGTCTTAGTTTATGTTATTCAAACTTTGAGATAAGCCATAGCCACAGGTATGTAGAAACTGACTTCACAGAATTGATAATCTTGCTAATGATATGTGTTTAGACAAACAGTGAGAATCCAGATGCCTTATTTTCACAGGACTCTGGTTTTCTGTCTTTTGTGCTTGCTTAAACTGAAGTTGGGTATATTAGTTTTATGATGCTGAAGACATTACTTTAGTTCTTAGCTCTATGAATGAATAAAAGATGAGTGCTACTTGCTCATTTCACTAGCTAAGACTGAAATTTAGTAGTTTGTCACTGAAGGTAACAGAAAATCCAGAAAGAAGTCAAACAAAAAATAGGCAACTGCAGAATGGTAAGGGCAAGAGTAATCCTTTAATACTGAAATAAGTGATTTTTTTTTTTTCCTTTCAATATTTTGTGTAGCGTTGATATTGTGTTCGTGTTTTGGCATTTCCAACTAACCCCTCAAGTTTTCATTCATTTTCTGTTAGTCTCCAGCTTCTAGAGAAGAGGTACGAGATGATAAAACGACAATAAAATGTGAGACATCACCACCTTCTTCACCTCGATCTTTGCGTTTGGACAGAGTCCAAAAAGGAGCTTTGCATACAGTGAGCCAGGAAGATATCAGGGACATAAGAAAGTAAGTAGCTGTGAATAAGTCAGAGCTACCAGTAACTTAGTAGTGCAGATCATCAGAATAAAATCCTAAAACTGCAAAGCTGTTCAGCCTGTAGGATTTTAGTTATTGAAGTGTTTCTCAAAAGTAGAGTATGAACACATAAATGGGTGACTATATTACGTAAACAATAAGAATACAGATTTTATTAAGGATCGGAAATGGCTTTATGTGAAGAATTCTTCTGGTACTCAAGGTCTGCATTAAGTTTTTTTTGTGTTTAGGAAATGAAAGATGCACAATTCCAGTCGTCTTTCAAAGGTTGGAATTTAGCTATAAATTTAGAAATAAGTTACAAAATTACCATCATTTTGATTGACAGATGTTCTTTTCAAAGTGCCTAAGTATCTGAGATGGATTCCACTCAAGTTTTTCAAACTTCCATTGTCTGCCTCAATTTGTCAGGAGCTTGTGTTGCCAACTTTGGCCTCTCTGAATTGCACTTTAAACACTTTTTGTAGTTCCATGCTATAGTATATAAATATTATATCCCTTCCTTTCTTGCACGATTTAGTTGTTCCCACTGTTTTTTCTGTTTAATTTTATGTATTTCAGTAGATATTTTTTTTTCATGACTCATTAAAAGGTGAAATTAGATGTCATTAGTGAGTTACTGAGCTTTTGTTAACTTGCACAGAAACCTGAACTTGTCTCTCTCAATGTTATTCCAGTGAATTTGTTGTACATGTGCTCCTTTGACTCCTTTTTTTTTTTTTTTGTAAAGTTCAACAGGCTCACAAGATGGGCAAACAAGTAATCCTAGTAGCAGCAATAGTAGCCAAGATTCCCTTCATAAAGCTCCCAAAAAGAAGGGGATCAAATCCTCTATTGGCCGCTTGTTTGGCAAGAAAGAAAAGGGACGACCTGGACAAACAAGCAAGGAAACATTAGGACAAGGTTGGTTTGCCTTTTTTTTTTTTTTTTTTTTTTTTAAAAAAAGAGGGGGGGGGAAAAACGCATT